ATTTTCGGAATATGTCGGAAAAGGTCGGAATCACAACATTCCGACTATAAAAATGTGCATATATTCACATTTTCGGCGGCGGAAAAGACCAAATAATTGCTTCATTTCACACAGGTTAACAATTATAGTTGTAAAAGTTCATGTGCCACCAAAAGAAACGAGAACAGTAACCGAGGTTGCCCGCGTAAGGCAAATATTAAAGAACGTTGTGCATTCTGCCAGCTGCAAGTGTGGCGAACTCGCAAAACTCCTCAGTCTCCTTGCAAGAATAGGGTATGTGTGCGAATCAAATGTACTTGACGGTATCTTTTATTTGTGTTTGCATATTATACCACATTATATTTACTGTTTATCCTACTTTGTTGTAGGAGAACGTTTGCGAAAGTACCATGTAGTGCATGTACTTCGTGACCTCACACAGCGTCCAACTGTCAATACTGAGAAAACGATGATACTGTAAGGTTTGTGAATTTCTAATACATCTTATTAAATTGTTTAAAACGTTTTTAAAATGAGGTATATTAAACATGTTTGAAGATGCGGTACAGTCCGTATGTAAACAAAGGCTTTGTTTACATTTCAGTATCCAAACTACTGAATTTTAATTTATTGGACGACTATTTATATTTTCATGATTCTAGAGTATAATACATCAAGACACAACGATCAATCTTTGCAGGAATATAAAATGAAATAAAAACCTAAATAAACTGTTTGTATAATAAAAAGAGGCCTCCTGTGAGCAGATGCACAGATCTGACTGTACTGCATCTTTAAGTTGAATAACTTTGGCTGAAACTGTTGAATGGTGATACCAGGGGCAAAACTAGCCCCCTTTTAATTGGGTGGTGTCTGCTAGAATTTCCCTGCGAAAGTCGATGATGCCCTCCAGCAAAAATGTTTTTGGCCGCTATTTCTCCCAAAAATGTTGGCGAGTGGGGGGGAGGTAGAAAAATTTGGGGGGGAGGTCGGTTTCCGGACATTCAAAAAAAGGGGCGAAAACATTTTTCGGACATAAACCAATTCAATTATGCAACAAAATATTTTTTCGGACAAATTCCTGTTAAAACATGCATGAAACCCTTATTTTTTTACCAATATCTGTAAAATTTAGGTCTATAAATTCTATTCAATTCCCTCTGGAAGCCACTGAATAACTCTACATTATATCATTTAAATTTTTTCATTGCCCTGCCAATCCAGATGATTTGTACTTTTGCCCCCCCCCTCAAGTTTCATCCCTGGGTGATACAGTATAAAGTCTAATTGGGAAGTGATGGCACAGACTGAAATTTGAAACGGGAAATAATTTCGCAAAGGCAGATTGCCGACCTGTCAGGACATCATGTCAGGGCGGCAGATTAACATGCTGTAGACCTGTTTGCTGATGGCAAATTGTTGCTGATCTGATTTTTCCTATTTCAGATAGCCTGAATATTAGCCAAATGACACATAATTATATATTTATATAAGTGAAATATCCTAACATTTTGTATAATAGCTATTTAGTAAATAAAAATAACCAACCCCTTAACCTTCTAATTGAAGCTAATTGCAATGCATATGGGGCTTGTGCATGTGAACCGTGTATCAGGCCATTTTGTTGTTCTCACCAAAAGCTTTGCTTTGATATCAAAGCGAGGCTTTGTGATGGAAAAAATAGCATGACTTAAACCCATACAAGACCAATTATCTTGCTTTGATGCTAGAAATTGGTAAAGCTGTTGGATAGTCATTTCATTATTTTATTATAAAATACATTATTAAATTCACAGGCATTTATTCATACACTGGATGAAGACACAGTGAGAAAACTGGCAATTAGAAGCCTAAGGAAGAGGAATAAGGACTACGGATTATGTTCACACATGGGCTCGGCACGGATATTTGGGCAAAGGGAATTGCAGTGTTTGCCCCTCTTGTGTAGTCCTCAAAATAAGACTTTTGACTGAAGTTTATATGTGGTACAGAGAACAATAATATTCATGAACCTTTGGTAAACTTTCTAAAGCAAAGGGAATTTGATTTTAATAATTTATATTCTAATTTATGTACCTATGTATATAGTAAGTAATAAAGATTTTTTATATTGTGTACAAAATTGGAATGTGTCACTGTTACATCAGTTATGGCAAAAATCAGTATTTTCGTTTTGGTATGTCCACACCATTGCTGGTGTGATATATGTTGCTGGTGTGATATATGTGCAACAGTGGGGAGCAATGTTGCATTTAAGGAAACATGGCAGGTGACATAACCATCATCATGCAGTCAATCTGTTGCTCGTTGGATAACCTTTGAAATGAGAACTGGAATGCACTCGAATCCTTTTTCAACTTTCACACTTTTCACATCCCACTGCCTGGTCCTTCTGTTGTTGGAAAGGCTCATGACTTTGTAGTTTGTACAGGTGACTCAACACGAGAAAGGGTTTGTCATCTGACCTTTATTTTTAATGGTGTAGATGTTTGGGGTTCTGAAAGCAGGAAATATGAAATATTATACAGCACTAATACTTGTGGTCAATGCTGTAAATTAATATACAAATATAAACCAATTCTTTTTACAATTTTTGACACAATTTTTCTGTCTATATACCTTGCAAAATCTTATTTTGAAACTGAATATTAATATTACTCCCATTACAAAGCACATCCTATATAAAAGTGAATGTCCTCTTCATACCTTGGCTGATGTTTGCTTGTTCTTCAAACCATATGAGACTCATTGTGTTCTACTTCCGTTGTCAAGACAGGACTCAGTTGCCACTTGCCACCAGAAAGGTCCAGAATCGATGTGCTTGAATTTCGTCGTTGTTTTGGTAGTATTTTTGCAGACGCTGATTCCCCTAAATACAAAGCAAAATAAATTGCACATTAGGCTCGTTTACTCTTCGAAATATATTGAAAATCATATTGTAAACCTACCTGCGGCGAAATTCCAATGACAACAGATGTGCAGCAAAGTTAGTGTCATTTGAATGTTCATATCCACCACTTATTTTGGCCTCTTGCCACGTATCAAATGTCTTATCACTTAAATAGATCCTTCTGTGCTCTTTCTCCCATAAATTTCTGTACTCTTTTCGGCTCGAAAACACCTTTTTTCGACCAGCATTTTCCCTTGAACCCCCGTACTGAGTCAGCATGACGCCCCGGGCAGACGCCATATTGAAATTCGATACACTTGAAAAAGTTGGGTCAACTTTTTCAAGTTGATCTATGCGCAGAACGGATGCGCAGCCGGTGACACTGCCGCTTTAAGCTTGCGAGGTGCTGGTCATTGAGAGAACTCGAGTTCATTGAACATTCAAAAAATGATTTATTTTTAATGGTTGAAAATATATGTCTGGTGTTGGATGTATATCATGAACATATTGCCTTTTTGTAGTTCGAAAGAAATGTATGCAAGTAAAGAAACTGGCCAAGTTATTCTTGATATTTTAATAATACATTGAATTTAATTATATGGAATGTTGAAATTACTATTTATTTGTGCTGATGATACATTTTACCTCAGAGGAGAAAATTAACTGGAAATATTTTATGATTGTATGTTTCTTTAGTTAGTTTCTAAAATTTTGCCAATAAAAGGCCTATAAGGCTATAAAATTAAACATGCGTAAGTGCAAAATATGGTGAAGTCTGTGAAGACAATTTAGACAAAAACATTAATATCAACCTGTTTTGGCCATTTAGCTATTGTTGTAACTGGCTGACAGTAAGTTTAAAGCACAAACCAACCCAATATCACCTCATGCATGTTTCATTTGTTGATGTGTATTTTGTGTTTCACCTTGCTTTTGACCTATGAAGGCTATTGCCCTTGATTGCCAAAATCTACAATGTTTACACTAAGGAATGGGGGTATACTCTGGATTTACCTGTGGTTACATACAATGCATTTGACACCTAGTTACAGGACAGAGTCTAACAAATTGAGCATTTTAGAGATATGGTTGCATATCACAAATTGTTGGGCTGATTTCAGATGCATGTTAATAATCAATGGTATTTAAAAAATATGTGGCAAACATCTGATGGTCTCACTGAAATATTTGTCAACATTCAGCAAAATCTAAAATCAACTCGACAAAGTGTGGTGTGTAAACATACACATACAATACACACATAACACATGATTTACCATATGTTGTCATGGAAATTGGTCTCGAGATTAAACAATCCAAACATGTTTAGAGCCACCTCAAATACTTTATTGTCATGTTACTCAAGGTAGGTCCCAATAAACTGCTTGGACAGGTGTAGGCTTTCTAGTGTAAACACAACAAAACCCTATCCCAGTTGTTTCTGTGCTTGCTCCTAAATCCTCATGAATACTGTATATGGTCTTTGGTTCAGCCAAATTGGAAAGGGCATTTGTTTTACACAACTTTGCTAAATGAGATATACCAACTTATCAACATGCTATGCAAACAACAACCCCTATAACATTTAAACTAAAGTCTTGAGAATTTTATCATTTAATTATTTTGCACACAACTCAAACTACTAGTATTTACATTCAAAGAAATCTAGAGCTATAGCAATATTTATGCAATTTAATACTCTTGTGGTCTTTTATTTATACACCCACTCACCCACAGCTTAACTTCTCAACAAGCTAGGCACATTGGCACAAATTGACAGCTTAGCCCAGCCCATTAAGTTGCACTGCACCCTACTGGGGCTATGGTGGTGTGCTGATTGCACCACCGACTTTGGTCCTGCAATTGTCAGAACAAGGGCATTCTGGGTGAGATTGTGGGCGGTTCAATTATCACCACTTCAATGACACCAAAGAGTTGGTCAACACTCAGTTTTCTCCAGAGGGAGCGTTGACAGGCTGTCTGGGGATTAGCCTCAAACACAACCCTCCAGTCATAAGGTGACTGCCAGAGAGCCTTTTGCTCAATCAGATTGTGCTGCATTGAACTGTACCAGCTACAGAGAAAATATACATTTCATGGGTTGCAAATCTAATATTATACAATACTATATCATAGGTAGTTGAGGATCCTTTGGAATTCAAGAACATCAACAAATGTCAAAGTAGTCAAACTGTACACAATACACTAGAAAAACAAAAATAAACAAATCACTTCATGACAAATTTAATAAATATACAAAATCAAGCAGTAGTCTTAATAGTGACAACACTACTGTACACAGAGCTCTGTATGAAAATTCTGTCAATTCAGTGATTGTTGGCTGAAAATATACTATTCAAGTATTTACAACTTTGATGTATTTTTTTTTTTACCAGCAAATCTCTTTGGCTGGGACTCAACATGGGCTTTTGATTCTGGTGTTAAATTATTAAAGGATGCTTCCCTGTTTGAAATGATTCTTTCTCCTGTTATGTGGAGCTCGTAACATTCTGTCCTAGAGTTTTATTAAAATTCTTTTAAAATATGAAAACTATTTCTTGTATCATCTTGACCAAGATTACATGCACACATATAATTTGCAACTAGCATAATGTGAAGATATATTACACTAATTACAGTAAAATAATCGCACTTTTGCTATCATCAATAGATATAGAGAGAATATTGAACTCTCAAGGCAAACGAAACAGCAAACACTCACCTCTATAAACACACATTTCTTCGCTTGCAAACGGTGAACTTTCTTCTCCAGAGTTGATGATGATAAACCAATGAATCGAAATTTTTAAACGAATTGAAACAGTATAGTGAGTATACTAAAAATCAAAGTGACAGTATAAAACTACATTCGAATGATAGTTCTTGAAACGACCGTTCCAAATCATCCATAATTGCGATCACAGGTGTGATACTTTTCAAAAATTTTCACATTTTCAAGCCAATACATATTTGTCACTTTTTGCAAAAGTAAGAGGCTGAAATCTACATATTCTCCCAGGCGCTTCGCTAACCCGCTGCGTCCTCCCCAAGCACCCCCGCGCGCTCGCTCATCTTAGCCACTGATCTATATAAAAAAACTGTAGTATGCCTATTTTTAGTTAATTGCGCCTGGGTACGAGGCTGAGGCAGTTGTGAAGCTCATGACGTATTGCTTGGCCGAATAGCTATGGGTGTCCGAAAACATACGTACTCGTTCGGCAAATTTTGAACATCACAAGTCCAGAATGGTCATTGCTTGCTTTTTAGAGTCAATTTTTTTAGGCCTTAAATCGCCGCATGAATATAATGCTTAATTTATATCTATATGATTTTCATATAAAGCTCCAAAACTCAATTTTAGGAATTGCCATTCTAAGTTTTGCACCCACTTACTTTACAACTGCCTATTGTGGGAAATGGGAGTTTCGATGAACAAATATTGACATTTAACCCTGGTATTTATGACGTTTGAGCTGGAAAAAACCTTAAGTTTTCTTGCAAAATCCGAATGGTTGTTATCGTCGACATTGGGCTCACAGCAAGGAAGCCTTGTCCCATGCAAATTTGACGAATTCTTGACTCATATCGCACGAAGAAAAAGAAGAAATTGAACACGAGCAACGACTATAGATTTACAACACAATTATGTTACTTAGGTTTAATTAAAGGCCATGTAAAGTCCGTAATGTAAACAAACGCTTTCTTTTTACATTTTGAACTCAGTGCTATAGTTGTAAAATATGATTAGATATATATTATACTGATTTTTAACACTCTTCTGGTTCGCTATGCTTATAACTGAATACAGATTAGAGTTTCAATTCAAGAAAGTTCGAAAGGTGCGAAATATTAATAACATTCCAATGGTCGGGTTCCGACCATTGGAATGTAGGCCTGCGCAGAACGTGTGCGCAGAACGGATTTTACATGGTCTTTAATGATTGTATTTCTGGTCAGCTACATAATTCTACTTTAAACATTTTACACGACTTTTCGTTTCAACGATGGCCGATGCGGTTGAAATGGATGATTTGGATCCTCTATCGGTGTGTCTGGATAAGGTATAAAGAACATTGAATGGGGAGGGAGATAAAAATGTTTGTAAAAATATTAAATCTGCATTTATCGCCCGATGATCTTATTAAAACCGCAAGTGTCCCAATAACGTTTGAGAATTATTATAGCACCTACAACCTGGGATGCGACAAAGATTTTATTGGAGAAGCATCATCATCGTATCACCATCATTTCACCATCACCCCTCTCATCATCACCGTCGCCGTACAAATTGTACTATGTATTTGTAGTGTATGTTATTATTGTTGTATATGCATATAGGTATTGTTGATTCAAGTAGACGGTTGTCAATTACCTTATTACCTTGTCCCTGGTGTGCTGTCCGTGTGCATTCGATCTGAAACAGTTGCTACTTTGCTAGCATGTCGAAATATTTCGAATGTTTACATGAAAATAGAGACAAGTCATGCATTTTATAACCTCGTAAACTGTATGAGCCCCTATTTTTACGCTAATACCTAAGATATCAAATAAAAATTCATGAAACAGAGAACATTTTTAGGCCACGGCCAGTTTTTAAAATATCTTCATTTCTTTTCCGGTCATCACCAAAATTACACTGAAGCCGGGCTTGAATATACAACAAATTTTGAATCTCATCAAGTACAAAAATATTTAACGTGTAATGAAAATATGCTCATGAAATGGAAATTAAGAGCTAAATTTTCAAACTAGACCTTTCTCGAGGCGGTTTTCAACAAGAAAGTTAATCTTTCGGCCTTTGATTCTTGGCAAAAATTTGACCACAACACGTGCGAAGCAACTGGATCTCAAAGACTTAGCTAAAACATTGTGAGGGATTTTCCTGACGATATGTTTGATATCTACAAACGACGAAAAGGTTTTTCTTTTCATTTAGCTATATTTGAAATTGAGGCCACGGGCTATTTTTAAGAAAATACAGTTCAAAGTCAAGCTATTTTTACATATTTTCGATCAAAATTTGTCAAATTTCACGAGCTTGTATTTTGAACTTAGACCGCTGAAGTTACATTAAGAAACATAGGATGGAAAATTTGAGGCATATAAAATACATATCAACTTCTTTTTTCTTCGTTTATTACGGTTTTAAGCAAACCATTGCTCGACGTATACGGTATTTGCTCCCATGTTCACGTCGCCATATTCACTTCTTCCAATCACACGATTACAAAAAGATCATCCCAAAACAAAGAATTCATTATCAATTTTTAAAATAATAACCGTTAATTTGTAAATTGTTGAATGGAAAGCAAAAAATCGTCAGCTAAAACAGCTTCTTGCTAACTTTCTGCTTTGTTTTGAATGTAAATGCAATTAATGGAACTTTAATTGTTTCTGCCCACGATTTTTGGACAGCGACGGCAAATTTCCCACCTGCTCTATATGATTTAAATTCTTTCGTAACTTCTAAACATATTTGAAATTGCTGATGATAATCGAAATTTATTCGAAATATATACAGTTTAATTAATTAATTATACTTATAGCTTATACGATTAAGATTAAAGGACTGGACGCTGTGGTTGATTATATGATACAATCATTGAAGCATTGCATGACACATTAATTATATTTCAAGCATTTGAATCAACTCCAAAAGAGTTATTCTGCATCGTTTTTAGTGACCGAATAACATGATATATATGGTGTAAACAAGTTACCATTCCTGCATGTACGTCATATATTACTGTACCTGCCACTTTAATTACCGTACCTACCAGCACGCTCTGACAGCGCACGTATATCAGCTATAATATACATCTTTCGCATAATCCTACTCCGTATGCTAATGAGTAATGTTCTACTATACAGTGTGCATAAAAAAAACTGAACAGATTTGAAATTGCTCTCAATTTCGCAAAACACTTATTTGTATCCAGTTTTTTTATATATATAGCTTCTTTGGGTACTTATAATGTAGAAAATGAAAAAATTTCTCGAAGTCAAATTTTGTGAACCGGGCGGGGGTGGGGGGGGGGGTGTCTTTTTCAACAAACTAAAAATGGCTCGCGCACAAAATTTAAAAGTTGTAATCATATTTGAGCTAACAGATAGAACATATTTTGGGCTTTTAATTACTGTACAAAATTTCAGACAATTTGGTTTAGTTTAAGCCTTTTAACTATTCATTTTATTCTAAAAAATCAGCCGGCTTTCGCATGCTTAAATTAATGCCTTTACCTAATTTGCATATTGCTGACATATGCAAATTAGGCAAAGGCATTAATTAAGCATGCAAATAGCTGATTTTTAGGAAAAATGTAACTTTGCGTAACTTTGGGTGACAGGCACGCGTTATACTATTTCACGATATATACAATTAACCGGTTAAAGATATATAAATATAAGAGGGTGTTGATGGGATACCGTGAAGCGTGAGGAAAAAATACTCTTTATATCGTTTCATAACACTTTTCAGCAGATTCAAAGATTTACCGTTAAAATATCAATTTTTTTACCGTTTACTGATTTTCAGATCCTATCTAGACCCTCATACAAAGCTGCATGTAATCGTTCACACAGCATGTACGTAATTTTACCATTTTGAGTTGCAAGGTCTAAAATATCTGGGCATTTCTACAGCATGCAAAACAAAATATAAATTGTAACATTGTTATGTCCAGATTTGTGTAGGAGTTTATAACGGTTCATTGAAAATTAATGTACACGTTTGGAAATTTCCATAATTAGAGTTCCCACTACAGTGTGTCTCAAAAAAAGTGAACCCTTTCAAATTCAAATTAGCTATAACGTATTGTAGTAATTTGACAGCTCTAATTGCTTTGAATTAATGGTTGGGTATAAGAACACAAGGAATACTGCATGTATTTCTTTTAAACTTTCTGATTTTTACTATTTCTTTGAGTTTTGTCCCATGAGAACAAAACCTTGTGTTTTTTTCCCAATCATTAATTCAAAGCAATAGAGCTGTCAAGTTACTACAAACGTTATAGCTAATTTGAATTTGAAAGGTTCACTTTTTTTTAGACACACTGTATAGTAGAACAATTAGCATACAGCTATTTCAATTAAGGTTGTCCCCCGAGCAAAGCGGAAAAGTCGAATACGAGCGCGAAAGGCTGCTGGGAATCGCTAATAAATTCAAGTCGAATACGAGCGCGAAAGGCTGCTCTTAATTGAAATAGCTGTATGCAATAGGATTATGCGAAAGATGTCCAATAATTGAATTCTTTTAAAAATAGTTTTGTTAACCATCTTTGGCAGGATTAAATATTGACATTTATTTCCTTTTTTGGCTACTGTCATGCATGTTGACGTATATTCTTAATGTTTAAATTTGCATATAAATATTGTTCAAAATACT